TATATATATATATATATATATATATACATACAAGTGTGTGTGTGTATAACTTGGAATATTTTGCTTCCACTGAAGTTAGAGAAATAATTAATGACATCTGCATGAACTCCATGTATATATCTATACATTAGCTACATCAAACTTTTCATAACTTTATTTTCAGATCAAAAGTTAGTTAGAAGGGTCTAATATAGCTGTTGTGAAGACACATAAGACGTTGGCAGAAGACCATACATTCTTCAAACAAACAGAACCATGAAGATAAACACAGCAGACGGGTCAGGGATAAAGGTGTTCTATGAAATGACAGGCTTGAAAGGGAGAGATTATTGTTCAAAGAAGGAGCCAAGAGCTCTGTGTTAACTCTGGATAAGCTGCAGATATCCACAGCTAAAGATAGTGAATCTGTCAACGGGGCAACTATCAGATTTGAAATTCACTAATATGTCTGTTATATAAGCGTAGCAGTGAGAAACAAGCCTGTTGTTAAACAGGAGCCCTAAGAAGTTCAATTCAAAGTTTCCACAAGCTATAGAGAGGACATTACAAACATGTGGTGGAGGATTCATCAGATTGACATTTTGGCCCACATGCAAAACGCCCCTATTTCACCATGGACAGGAAAGCTAATAAAAGTTGATGGGAAGATGGGAAGTGTTTCATCAAACACAACGGTTGAAGAAACGCTGAAAAATATGAAAAAGTGTGAGCGGTACAATTACTTCTGCAAGGCAGAGTAGATTACCTTTTTTGTGCATTAATTCATACACTATTTTATTCTTTTTGTTAGCAAAAAGCTTTAATTTAGTTTTAAAAAGAAACCATTTTCATATATCTTAAAGTCCGCATGCTTATCTTTTATAAATTAGAGTAAAAACCACATCAAAGTAAAGCCACATCACTATTTAAGCCTAAAACATGAGTTGGATTCTGTTTAAAACACTTTCAGCTACATTTTGCAGTGCTTGTAGCTGCAACTGCAGGCAGGATTTGCACAGTGTCACATTATCCTGACACACTGCCGTGGACATGCCAGATATGTGTAGAAGGAGTCCTTAATCTGGAGTTAGACTGTCTGAGGCGCCTTATGCTAAATTGCCGAAAGAGACATGCTGTCAATGTGTCAGCACCTAATGGAGGGACTTATTTACACCATTAGGCATTGATTGCTGCTTTTAAAAACTATTCGGAATAAAGTGTAGAAATTATTTCTTGTTTTCTAAAATTGCTGAAAGACATAAATGCATTTTTTAGATCAGAATTAGATCCTGGGGAATGAGCCAAGTGGAATGATGATAGGGTTTGAAAAATGATGGAAAGAAATGGAAATCTAATGAAATGGATAAAACACTGAGCAACAAAAAAACAACATGCAGTGGGATGAAAAAGTGTTTAAAAAAAGAGCAGGAAAGAAGACTGGAGAGAAAACTGCTTGGGTTGGATTTCATTTGCTATGATAAAGGCATTAGTGGAGGAAGTCATATCAGACTATTCAAGCCAGGACACATGACGAGTGGGTGAAAAAAGGGCAGAGAGAGTTAGGTGGAGAGCAGAGGGAGATAAGGAGACAGGAAGAGAGAGGGAGAGTCATGTCTTATTAATACTGTGACTGCTCTCTGGCAGTGAGTGAAAGCACACATCCATCAAACATCTGTCAAACAGCGTAATCCATACGGTTTAACATAAGCTGCTGGCAACACCACTGGACAGGGACTCACATAGAATAAAAACACAGCAATCATCAGGACAAAAATAGTGGGAGCAGGATTTATATTAATACAGTTGACATGTGACCTCACAAGCCCCCGAGTTGAGAGCCCTTTATGCATACCCAAGTACATGTCTGCATGTGCTGTTATTGAATATGCATGTTGCATTTCTCACCATGGACCTGCAGCATGGCTGAAGCCTCTGTCTTTCCCACGCTGTTCTCAGATGTGCAGGTGTACATCCCTTCATCTTGCTCTTTCACGCGAAACAAACGGAGATTGTTGCCGTTGCGTATTTCAAATCTGTGGAGGAAGAAAGTGAGATAAAGGAAGGCCAACAGGGTGGACACAAAACATACTAACAGCACAAAGTGGACAAAAAGCAATCTGTTGGGAGAAACAGATAAGAGTCCGGGCCTGTAGTTCAAGCTCACATGACTCATTCAGTAAATACCAACCCTTACCCCCAACCCCAACTCTTTCCTGGGACCTCCTTGATTTATCCTACAGGGGCTGACTGTGCAGCTAAATTACTAGCTTTGCAACAGAGTAGAGATTGATTGATGCAGCTTTCTTAAGGCCGATGCAGATGCCAATTATTTTGACATCAGTCCATTTGATATGTGGTGCCAATTTTTGGGATGATTCTCAGGGCGGATTTTGCTTTTTCTTCTTACAATCACATGATAAAATGACACAATGATAAAAGCAAAACAAAAGCAGACATGCAAGTGAATGCAAGTAAAAATAGCTACCTCTCATGATAAATCTATACATGTATAAAAAAATCAAATAAAAAATTAATCATGGAAAGCTAACCGGGGGTCTCAAGGTATGGCTGCTTAATGTACGAATGGTTAATACACATGCACGTTATAAACTATAGCAACTAGCCCTGAAAGATTTCACCCAAAATCTAAATTGCAATTTTTCACCAAATACTGCGATTGCAATTTTCCTTTGCAGTAAGTAAAAGCATGTTGATGTTTCACTCCAGGGTTTCTGTGTTTTTATGACCTTGCAAGCTTGCTTTTCAAGGGTCCATTGTTGCAGCACTTGACTGTACCATTGCATGAAAAAAATCTTACTTCTACTAACATGCATGGATCTACATCCTAGCTGCAACTTTCTCTTCCCTTCTTTGTGGTAGCAAGCCCAAATTAAATGTATTACCACCACTTAAAGGTAAGTAGTTAGAAATGTATTTTCTTACTGTTGTTAAATGTAATTAATGTGAGTAAAAAAGGGGGCCTTTTCTAAATTGTGATTATATTGCAAAAAATCAATTAATTGCTCAGGTCTAATTCCGACTATCTATCCACCAATAATAGCGGACAGATAATGTATCAATCTATCTCTGCACCAGAATTACATTATCATGTTCTTAAGGACAATTTACCCATCTAATGACCCACCATCTTCACTGGTACATTCTTCATGTACCATGACATTCTTTTCAGACTTCAAACTTAATTAGATTCACACCCTTTTTCTCTAACATCGCATACATTATTTGCCTTGGAAAATCTCATATATATATATATCTATATATATCTAAATATATATAGATATATATATATCTATATATATTTATATATATTTATTTATAAAACCCTCTGCACTTCACCCATCCCCTTGGGGAGCAGTGGGCTGCCATTGTGTGGTGCCTAGGGAACAGTGTGGGGTTAAGGGTCTTGCTCAGGGACCTAGAGTGGCGGTCTTTGGGAGTCGGGCTTGATTTTGGGACCTCTGAATTCCAAACACATTGCCCCAACTACTAGACCACCACTCACCACAGTCAGCTAACTGACGTGTGTCTACCCAGGGCCAAATGACTCAGCAAGCTACCCACGTTAAAATCGCATCAGCTCTGATCAGCATGCTGTGGGAACACCAGAGCTTTTACTCTAGTTACGTGACACCATTGAACACAACATACGCACGTCAACACACCGTGCTAGATGCTTCTGATCTAACAAGCCAAAACAACTTTGTTTACATTTGATAAACATGGCGCAGCACTGTTAAGAGATTCAGCCAGATGAAAGATCGAGAAAATAAAGAATACTGACTACACTCTGGCTCCCATCCATGTTGCTCCCCATTATTTACTTCCCTGATTTCCGTCACACTGTCGACATCATCAGCGCCCACCCAGCGTGATGCTGTCATCAGACACGCAGTGGTGGGGGACAGTGGCCACGCAGCTTTCCAGCAGGGCGTCAGACTCTGCTTTTCAGTCAAATGGGAAAAGAGCCAAAACCAATTGTTAACCGGATTTATAAAACCTAGGTTTTCAGTTGGAAAGCGACTGAAACACCCAATGATCACTACTGATTTTATATGTATTACTATACCACCTGTTTTCATCATGCTTTTTAACATGCCTGCTTGGACTAAACAGACAGAGAGTCTCCCTTGGGTGACATGCCTTGGTCCCTGCCTTTCCTTTAATGCCCCACATCAAACTATTTCAGTCCTTTAATTGATTCAGCTGGGGTTGATTATGACAATGAATAATGCCTAACCCTAAGCACCCAGCAGCCTATGCCATGCAGTGAGTATATGGTTAAAATGGGATAAAGACAATTAAGATGAAAACAGTAAACACTCTCATGCAGAAAGAAAGATACAAGTTTTATATTTCATAAAGTCATGAACAGAAATTAATCAATATTTTGAGTGTTTTTTTTTTTTATACTTCAACAAATAAATAAAAAAGACAGCAATGCTTATATAAAAGCTAGCAATCAAAGAGTAGTTTACATTGATAACACCTCTGCATCATGAATTATGTAAAAGCACAATTATGTATTTATTTACAACAAAAGAAAAAATAAATGACAAAACTTTTCACAGCCTCTTTCATTCCTTCTCATCCCCCCTTATCTCTGTAAGTCTCACCTCCCGCGAGGAAGTTCCCCTTCATCTCGCCGCCATCGCACAGTGGGAGCGGGGTCCCCGTGGACTTCACACAGGAAGTCCACCGTCTCTTCCTCCATGACCACCTGGTTTACTGGCCTCCGTACCAACACAGGACGTTCTGTAAACAACAAAAAATATAGTAAACTTGGTAATTCTAGAAAAAAGGTTTAAAAGCAAAACAACAGGAGTTTGTTTCATGTTTGAAAATATTTCATCCTTCATCCAAAGGCTTTTTCATTTCAAAGCTAATGAGCGAGTACTTCCAAGCTTTTGAGCTTTTAAAGGAAGCCATTCTGCATATCTAATTTAACATTCCATGGTGTATTTATTTTTGTATCCATCCAATATTAAAGGTTGGTTGATAATTGAATATGTCCATGTGGTAGAAGAAGAACAATAAAATGTAAGACACCTGTACTGTTTGTGACAGCTTTGAGAACTTATTGAGATTTACCGTAAACAACCAGCTCAGCAGGATCGCTGTCCCTCTCTCCGACCATGTTGGTGCCCACACAAACATACATGCCAGCATCACTCTTCCTGGTAGGGGAAATCATCAGCTTCCCCCCTCGCATCTGAAAAAATAATATCAGCATTGACTGAAAGGCCATTTTAGTTTTCCCTTAACTTCTCACATATCCTAGATATATTATTTCAACAATTGATAGCAGAAAAATCAATATTTGGTTAGGCTTCCTGGAATAAAATCAGAATATTTTATGTATAAGAAATGCCGCTTGATGCAGAGCAAACTGAGTATGTTAAGATACTTTCTTTGTTCATCTAATTTAAAAAGCAGACCTTATAGTATGCTCTTGGTGGATTGTTTTTTAGATGGAAACAGCTTCTCCGCCCTCAGACAGCCTCTGCCTAACTTTCCTAAAGTCAACTTTCAACAATCTTACACCCATCTACTGGTTTCACACATGAAGAGGCAGGACGACAGGGACACCGAGGATTCAGACATTTTCCAGTCCAGAGAATAACAACATGTCTGCTCTGAATTATAGTCTTTTGAAACTATTGTCTGTCTAAATGAGTATCTCTCCCTCTTGTATAACACATTCCTCCTTGACTTTGAATGTCAGAGCAGATATGATTCTCGAGGTAACAAAAGTAAGAAAAAAGTTTTACATTGCAGCAAGGATACATGGCCTTTAAAATGCATTAATAAAATGTGAAAAGTATATATTTGCCATCTCCTTACTTTCCTCTTGACACATTTTCATTGATGTTTTAAGGTGTTCATTATTTTCTTTTACTGCAGTAGATTTGATTAACTCAAAGGCAAACCAACTCAAATGAACTCATCCATAAAGTCCAGATTTGTGGAATTTACAATTAATACTTCCCATATCAGCACATTTGTGCACCTGAGCTGTGCTGGTATAATTGGTGTGTTACCATGGCGGTGCTCCAAGGCAGCAGCCAAGAGCATCTCCTCTCGACAATTTCACAAAATATTTTGCTTAAGATGAGACAAACTAGACATCAAACCCGCATCTGTGATCGCCAACGCCTGCTGGAGCTACGGTCACAGAATGTTTTAAATACTGACATTTTTTGACCGTTTAAAAAACTGCGGAGTGCTATAGATGTCAATAAAACAACAGCGGAAAATAATGGACAGAGGAAGAGATGCGCAGGACGGAGAAAGCGAGGGTGCAGAGGGAGGCTAACTGCCAAGCTAAAGAGAGATCCCCACAGACCGCCACTTCCATCAATCCTGCTCTCGAACGTCCGCTCGTTGGAAAACAAAATGGATGATTTGGACTCGAACTCTCTTCAAAAAGGAGATATGTAACTGCTGCGCCATCGTTCTGATGGGGTCTTGGCTGCGTCCAGCAGTACCGGACGGTGCTGTTGGCCTGGGGCTGATGCTGTACTGTACCGATGGAACCAAAGAGCTATGCGTGAATGGAGGCTCCTCTGATCGTCTGTTCCCAGGCACTCTTCGGCATCTAGAGGGGAAGCACAGCCCTGCACAGCCCCATATCCCCAGCCAGCTCCTTCCTTCCCTCTCCGAATTCCACACCTTGTCCAGCATCGTTTGTCACTACTAAACCTGCCGATGGCACCACTGCTGCTTCAACCACATCAGCCTCTTTAACCCAGGGGGCTACCACCCTCACAGCATCGTCATCATCGTCCTCTTCCTTCCCTGAGCCAGGAGAAGCAAGTGCTTCAGGAGCTGGAGTCAGTTGTAGCAGCTCAACAACAACTGCTGCTTACCTTATCAAGGCTGAACTTTAATAATTGAAATTCTCTAGAGAGATGTTCTAAACGAAATTTCTGTTTGTTTACACTGACAAAATAAATCTTTCTAAGTCTAATTAATAAAGTAGTGTTTAATTAAGCATTTAGACATTTATACAGACCAAGATGCGCTCATCTTTGGAGCTCAATCTGGCATTGTTGCGTTTCCAGAAGACAGAGGGCTCAGGATGCCCCCGTGGAGGTATGCACTCCAACACCGCCGGCTCTCCAGCAGCAACCACCACATCACTCGGAGCCTGCCGGAAATCATCTCTCAGGACTGAAAAAGAAAACAACACAAACTAAATTAGCCCGAAACGCTCTGTAGGCTTGGTGCATTTAAAACTCAGACAAGTAACCAACCAGGTGACTAGCAGTGTTATATCCTTTTTTTTTTTACAGCCTTGATCAATCTTCTTGTTTAGAACTGAGAAAATTCATTATTGCATGTGCGTGACTTCTCAAATCCCTTACAACATCCCTAATGTTTTCCCAACCCTGTGTCCTCCTATGCTGTCAGGGAGGGATGAATAATGCACATCTCTCAGCCCAACATGAAGTAAACAAATAATAATACAGCATTTATAATTTAGCACATGTGTGACTGAGCAAAAATTGGCCCTGTTCTGAAGAAAAGATTGTGTCTGATTTAATTTGCTCTCTTATAAATCTAGAGCACAGCTCCAACTTGAGTCAGCAGTAAATGAGAAAAATGATCCTCGTGAAGTTGGAGCAACCCTGCGGATGAGGACAGGATGAGAGGTTTGACACGGCGACCTCTGATATCCTCTAATCTTTGCCTGTGATTGACAGATGAAAGCCTCAGTGTGAACTGCGAACCGAGCCTTCTCAGGAGACCTCCTGCACAAATGGAAACTCATGCTTCAGACGCTGACAGGCTTACACTTTCAAACACAGACACGGTCACAGACAGAGGGCTGGCTCGTCCTGTCAGGCCTCAGCAGGGTTCTCTTTCTTTTTTCCAAACAAAGTGTATTATTTCAGACTAATCAATCACTGCAGTTTCCTTTTACACAATCATTAATAATTTAACAATCTCTTACTGATAAAAAGATAAAAGAGCTTCTGCTTTTTCAGTGATGTGAAATCTGTGTCTAAACCCTAAATGTTGATCCCTTTACAGCCCTTTCAATCAGTTGATCAAAGTGTTAGCTACATCGGGTTTGCACTCCATAACTGCCTCCAGCAGAGTCAGACTTTCCATTTATTCAGTCTTTTTTTCTGACTTGTTCTGGATGGCAGACTCAAGTGTCTGTAAGAGAGAAACACAGGTGGAATAATATTCAAAGAAAAAAAATAACCTTCCTGCTATTTGACTGCTGCACAAATGAGGCAATGGGTTCTTAGCTTTAACCTTTAGTAAGAAAAGACCTCATTTGGTATTCTGTCATGTGCAAATTATTCAGTGCCTTTTTAACTAAACTCTTTAATTTTGCTTTCTATAAAATGCAATGACACATGAAAGGTTATGAGAAATTAATGAATGAATAAATTACAACATTTCTTCTCTAATGTGACATTGGCAAAGAAAACTTGCCCTTTCGTGCTTCCAACATTAATCATTGTAGGGAAAATGGATGTTTTCCAGTGAAAAAAAGATTTTAGCACACATGCTTTGCACACCTCTACATAACCTATAATATCACATTACCTTTAAGAGTATATTGTTTTGAAATTAGCATTAAGATGCTTACTGTGACTCAAATAACTGAGCTTATCGCATCCTTTGTTTAATGCATGAACTTTACTAATGGTGTTAGTTTGCCCATCCGTTGCAGCTAGAGCAGCTTCAACCCTTCAAGAACGGCAGTCCAGGGGGTTTAGGAGTGGCTTATGGGAATATTTGACCATTCTTTCAGGACAGCATTTTTAAGGTTGAATGATGTTTTGAAAATCACACTCTTCCCTGAGGTCAGGACTATATGCAGGTCAGTCAAGATCCTCCACAGCAAACTTGCCCATCCATGTCTGGTCTTTGCACTGGTGTGAACTGATGTTGGAACAGGAGTTGGCATCCTCACCCTTGGTGTATGACATCAACATGTTTTTGATTTCTGCAGCATTCAGAATTATTTTTTACTGGATATAAAGGTCTAAATCTAAACACAAAGAAATAAACCAACAGCATAATCTCATTTGCACAAAATGCTCCACTTGAAAAATTGTCAGCCAACTTTTATTCTCTTGCTAATAGCTAAACCCAGACTCATTTACTGGATTGCAGCAGAGGCATAATTAGATATGCAGAGAACCCATCTTTGATGCTCTAGAGTCCAGGAGCAGTGTGATTTACACCACCTTATCCTTATTTTTGAATTGCACTTGCTGATGTAAGACCAGGATGTAGCTTCTTGTCAACAGAGACCCATCCCATTAAGCTCTCTGCAGACTGTTTTTTAACTAATGTGAAGGCTACATGAAATTTGGAAATTTCAGAAAGCTGTTGACAACTGCTGACTTGGCCTATGCTTTGTGATTTGAGCAAGCCAACAAATTTGCTGCTGATTTGCACTTGTTTGACTGTTTTAGGATGTCGCTTACAGCTGACAGAAAAATGTTCAAAAGGAAGAAAGCTTCAGGATCATTCTGAATGCATAGGTATACTCCTATCTAGGGATGCACGATATTGGGATTTTGGCCGATGTCCGATATGCCGATATTTTAAAACTCATGTAGCCAATAACCGATATCAATACCGATGTTAAAGCTGGACAAAAATAAGTAGTCATTGAAAATAGCAGTTTTGTTATCCATTTCTGAGACTTAAAAAAATAATATACTCAAATATATTTTCATATGCTTATATCAACTTGATTTTAAAAAAATCTATTTTACTTTCAAAATCTCGTGAAATTTCATCGTTCTTTTACAAACTCTTGTGATATTTTGCAAATTCTTGTGAGATTTTGTTAGTAAAATAGATCGATACCGCGTCAATATATCAACATATAAAATATGGCAAAATTTCGTGAATTTTCGGGGGATTTCGTAGCATAACGATGACATATAGCAATATTTCATTAGTAAAAGAGATTGATATGGTGTTTTTAAATGGCAATATATCAGCATATGAAGATATTGTGATAATTTAACGTATCAATATTTTTTCCCTCGTCTTTAGAAGTTTTTAAGTCTGCAAAAAATAAGTTTTTGAGGAAAAGAAGAAGAAGTAGTATTTTATTTTTTTTTTAGACTTTAGAAACTCAGAAGCTGATCAAATATCGGATTAAATATCGGTGGGGTGGCCGATGTCCGATATTCAGTTTTAAGGCCGATACAGGCCGATTCCGATAGGGGGCCGATTATATCATGCATCCCTACTCCTATCACTTTACCAACTAGGATTTATAGGTCTTGAGAGAAACTTGTTCTAAATGTTTGGCAATGGTCAATGATGCAAACAAAATGACATCAAAAGCATGTTGGTCACTACAAACATATGGTTTCTCTGTAACTTTATAATGGACATTAAATGAAATATTATTGTCGGATTTTTATTTAGGCTCTCTTTGGTTTAGAACATTTTACAGTATATTTAAATATAGCGGGTAAAATGGGTATTGAACATGCCACCATTTTTCTTAGTAAATATATTACATACAGTTCAACCAGATCGTACATTCAGATTGGTTCAGAGTTTTCTATCTAAGGAAAACCAGCTGATTGACACCAAGAATGCATGTAGTGACAGTGGATAGAGTATGGAATCAGAAAAACTTCTTGTGAGGTTATAGTCATTGCTGTAAGTCCCTAAACACTACATCCTTATGAGCTTTTTTCTGAGCTTATGTTTTGATCTTATTCATATAATTCATGGACTCTGTTTATGAACTTTGATTTTGTGGCAATTTTATAAGCAAATAATTGTTATGGCAACTACATCATGTTCTGCTGCTTTAATTGGTGGTGTCAGATAAGAGAGAAAGCAAAGTTGAAAAAAATCTTCCTGCATGTATAGAATTTCAAAGTAAAGAACTAATGAAAACAATATAAGGGTATATAAAATTCCATCTATTTCTTATTATAATGGCATAATACCACCCTGTTTCAATGACGTTAGGAGACCTACAAGGCTGCATCACAATGTATTTTTTTTAATCAGGGAGAGGTTGCAGAAGTTCAAACAATATATCTTAACAATAGAATAAACTGTGACAGCAGACATTTTTTAAACTTACAGGGCTAACAGAACTCCCAAGAAGCACTAAAAAACTGGGACTCATGTAGATTTTGTAAGGTGGAAAATAATATAATAAACCAACTTATGATAAATGTTCAACAGAAGAAAGTTTGATTCTGCCTTAAAACACTCGGATAGCTGAAATATACTGGTGTTATTTAAATAATGCCAAAAGGCTGAAACATTTTAGATGCAAATTAAAAACAACCAAAACAAAAAACAATGATCTGACAAAACTATCGATGACTCATATTGTTCTTTTACTTTATACATTTAAATATAAAATCTTTTGGAAAATATCTGCTAAATAAACCTGAAAGGCCTCATCAATATATAGATTCATAACCTGCTTGACATTATTAAATTTCTCATTAGTTCTCTAATTTTGTTCTATCAATATTCACTGTCAGATAACACTCTAAGGGCAGGTAATATGACCCTGTCGTTCAATCAGAGGAGTTTTCATATGCAAACATTTACCATAGAGAAGTGGAACTAAAACCTATCCTCACCGAACAGTCTGACCATCTTTACCAAAAATACAGCTCAAACAAGGGTGAACTAGACCAGTACAGGTGCAATGTCTAATTTATTGTATTAATGCTCAGCATATCTAAGAGGTTGTTTACAACCTATGCATGGGTCACACTACACATTCTTTTTCATTTTAAACACATCATTCGCTATCCTGCATATCTGGTCATGTTACAACTATAAAAATGACCAAATGTTAACAAAAGCAAACAGGAACAAATTATTGGTTTTGTAATTGTACAAACATAATACTAAAAAAAGGGGGGATACATTTATATTTAACTCCATGCTTTGCAGATGCATGCCATGCTGCTACAGCATATGTATCTGCAAGCGTTGTATTTCTTTAGACTAAAGATTGGACGTTGTCTGGGCAATTCTAGCTCATGAATAAAGCTGAACTAACATTTAGCTGTATATCTGAATATATGGAGTTGACCTGTTGGAAAATGAACCTTGTTATCAGTAACAGATCTGTTTCTAAGTATTCTTCTGGGATTGCCCTGTATTTAGTTCTGTCTATTCTACATTTCATTAAGCCTGTC